CCTTTATCATTCTTCATCAGTATACTAAATAAATCTAAATTGATAAGAGGAACGATAGAAAAGAAAGGATTGAGAAATTATGATTCTAATTCGATAAATATGAACTACAAAGACGGAATGATTAAGAATAATAAATCTAAATTGACATAAAAAGATTCACTTACACTTTCAAATTTTCTCTCCATTTGATATTTAGTACCACACTTATAAAGCAGAAAGTATAAAGGGGAAAATTTCAAGAGAGAGATAGATAGATATAGATAGAGAGAGAGAGATAGAGTGAGAGAGTGAGAGAGTGAGAGAGTGAGAAGTGAGAGGAGTGAGAGAGTGAGAGAGTGAGAGAGAGAGAGAGAGAGAGAGAGAGAGAGAGAGAGAGAGAGAGAGAAGAGAGTAGAGAGAGAGAGAGAGAAAAAGAAAAGAAAGTAGAAAGGAAGAAAGAAAGAAGAAAGAAAGAAAGAAAGAAAGAAAGAAAGAAAGAAAAAAGAAAGAAAGAAAGAAAGAAAGAAAAGAAGAGAAGGAAAGAAAAGAAAGAAAGAAAGAAAGAAAAAAGAAAGAAAGAAAGAAAGAGAGAGAGAGAGAGAGAGAGAGAGAGAGAGAGAGAGAGAGAGAGGAGAGAGAGAGGAGAGAGAGAGACCGAGAAAGAAAGAGACTTTTCCAACCCGCCAACGAGAGACACAAATTACTCAAAAATAAGATACAGCAATTTAAAAAAATGGTGATAACGTGACCCTCTTGTATGTTGGGAAAATTGCTCGATCGAACACTGCAACCTGTTGCGAGAGTTGGCGAAGGGGAAAGGCTAGATCAGTAGCAACTCGAGGAGGTGTCACGGCGTCTGTTTTTGAAAGGTTAGATTGCAGTAGCAACTCCAGGAGGTGTCCATGAATGGCGTCTGTCTTGAAAGGCTAGGTCAGTAGGCAACTCCGAGGAGGTGTCACGGCGTCTGTTTTTGAAGGCTAGATAGTAGCAACTCGAGGAGGTGTCAATGGCGTCTGTTTTGAAGGCTAGGTCAGTAGGAAACTCGAGGAGGTGTCAGCAACCGTCTGTTTTTTGAAAGGCTAGATCAGTAGCAACTCGAGAGGTGTCATGAGCGTCTGTTTTTGAAAGGCTAGGTCAGTAGGAACTTCGAGGAGGTGTCACGGCGTCTGTTTTTGAAGGCTAGATCAGTAGCAAACTCGAGGAGGGTGTCATGGCGTCTGTTTTGAAAGGCTAGGTCAGATCAGGCAACTAGGAGGTGTCATGCGTCTGTTTGAAAGGCTAGGTCAGTAGCAACTCGAGGAGGTGTCATGGCGCCTTGTTTTGAAAGGCTAGGTCAGTAGCAAACTCCAGGAGGTGTCATGGCGTCTGTTTTGAAAGGCTAGGTCAGTAGCAGCTCGAGGAGGTTTCATGGCGCCTGTTTTGAAAAGGCTAGGTCAGTAGCACTCGAGGAGGTGTCATGGCGCCTGTTTTGAAAGGCTAGGTCAGTAGCAACTCCAGAGGTGTCATGGCGCCTGTTTTGAAAAGCAGTCTGCAGGAGGTCATGTAAAGGCTAGGTCAGTAGCAACTCGCAGGAGGTGGTCATGGCGCCTGTTTTTTGAAAGGCTAGGTTCAGTAGCAACTCCAGGAGGTTGTCATGGCGCCTGTTTTTGAACAGGCCTAGGTCAGTAGCACTCGAGGAGGTGTCATGGCGCCTGTTTTGAAAGGCTAGGTCAGTAGCAGCTCGAGGAGGTGTCATGGCGCTGTTTTGAAAGGCTAGGTCAGTAGGCAACTCGAGAGGTTCATGGTGTGTTTTGAAAGCTAGGTCAGTAGGCAACTCCAGGAGGTGTCATGGCGCCTGTTTTGAAAGGCTAGGTGCAGTAGGCAACTCCAGGAAAGGTGGTCATGGCGCCTGTTTTGAAAGGCTAGTCAGTAGCAAACTCGAGGAGAGGTGTCATGGCGGCCTGTTTTGAAAGGCTAGGTCAGTAGCAAACTCCAGGAGGTGTCATGGCGTCTGTTTTGAAAGGGCTAGGTCAGTAGCACTCGAGGAGGTTCATGGCGTCTGTTTTGAAAGGCTAGGTCAGTAGCAACTCGAGGAGGTGTCATGGCGTCTGTTTTGAAAGGCTAGGTCCCAGTAGCAACTCGAGGAGGTGTCATGGCGTCTGTTTTGAAAGGCTAGGTCAGTAGCAACTCGAGGAGGTGTCATGGCGCCTGTTTTTGAAAGGCTAGGTCAGTAGCAACTCCAGGAGGTGTCATGGCGTCTGTTTTGAAA